TTCCCCCCTAACTGAAATTATGCCTTTTAAATTCGAATATAATTCGAATTTTGATAATATTTAAGTAGAAAATTTGAATGTAGTTTTTCAGTCATTTTGACAGCTCTAACACTCTGTCACTGGCTTGATTTGACGAAGGGAATCTGTTGAGTCTCAACTCAGTCACCCTGAATATTTCAGGATATTTCTATACATCGGTGTGAAGTTTGCAGATGTTACTTCAGCTACAGTGTTATCAGGCCAAGTTAAGCACTGTTATTAGCTTCCTGCAGAATCATGTGCTGGTGCCACCATACACACAAACTCCTCTCATGTTAGTCTGGATCCCTGATGATGATGAAGAGGTCAAAACTGGATGCTAACTGAGAATAGATTATAGAATCGGTTTTGAATATGAATGGCTTAATGTGACTCACCAGCTCTTCAGTGCATATGAAGTATTTGACTGCCAGCTTTATATCCATGGCTGTGTGATGCTGGGATCGTCAGCAGGTGTGGCTCAGTGTTCAGGCAGCTGGGTGTGTTTGTCATGTGTCTGCAGGGGTGAGGATGATCAACCTGTCGTACTCGCGCATCTCTCTGGCTGACATCGCACAGAAGCTGCAGCTGGACAGTCCTGAAGACGCAGAGTTCATCGTGGCCAAGGTCAGACTCTCTCACTCGCTCACTCACTCACTCACTCACTCACTCGTGAGGTCGTGTTCATCAGGGACTGAGCTGAAGCATGTGACCGTCTCTGTCTGTCCAGGCCATCCGTGACGGTGTGATTGAGGCCAGTATAAACCACGAGAAAGGTTACGTCCAGTCCAAAGAGACCATGGACATTTACAGCACTCGAGAGCCTCAGCTGGCCTTCCACCAGCGCATCTCCTTCTGTCTGGATATACACAACATGTCCGTCAAGGTACGAGAAACACCAGCAGAAGGGTCTTTGGGATTTAATGAATAATTACATCGATTCATTGGTTTGTTCATGTTACTTGAGACTGGACTACTTCAAGTAGTAAAGCATATAGTTCATTTTATATATACAGTATATACACCTATAGCTATATGTAGCTTCTTCGTCTTCTCCGTGGTGGATTATGGGAAATAATTGAGTGGGAGTGAACAGATGTAGGGCATATAACGAGTGATCTGAGTGCGGGGAACTGAATTCAGCTGTTTCTGTGCAGGCCATGAGGTTTCCACCAAAGGCCTACAACAAGGACCTGGAGTCTGCTGAGGTAAGCCTGACACACGCTGCAGAGCGTCTGCTGAGAGACGGAAGCTGACCCTGTCTGTGTGTGTTCACAGGAGAGACGAGAGCGGGAGCAGCAGGATCTGGAGTTTGCTAAAGAGATGGCAGAAGATGATGACGAGAGTTTCCCATGAGTCTGCAGCGGCTCACGTCTCTTGTTTGTTTTCTTCTTGTATGTTCCTCCCAGGTGCTTCAGCTTTGCTCTTATTATAATCCAGAACATTATAAACATCATCACTAATTCTCCAGCTGTGTTTGTTTTTTTCACCGGTGCATGCATCAGTTTCATACATTCATAGCAACGATGCGGTTTGCTGCAAAACATCTCAACTAAACATAATAGCGTCTTGTTAGAAAGTGTTGAATTGAGTTGAAAAGCATCGTCTTGCTTTACCAAATGAGCAGAATTCAAAATGTAAAGTGCGAATAATTTGGAAATGAGTGGAATTGGTTGGCTGAAGATAAAGTGTCAGGTTGTTAACAGACGGTAAAGTCTGTGTTATTTACATTTAATCCTGTTTTTTTCACTCATTGAAATGAAAGGCTTTATTTAGGTGTGTGATTGCAGGGGCACAACTCTGGTCTGACAAAACTTAGCGCTGCTGGGTAATAGTCTGTGTTCAAATGATTTTAATTTGCATTGGATTATGAAAAAAAAACAAAACACAATCTTTCAGGAAAGTGTTAACAATTTTTTTAAGGTTAAAAAGTTATTGTTTTCATTGTTTTTGACTCCTGTAAACAGTGCTTTTAGTTTTTCATGCAGGTCTAACTACTGTTCAGGGAAAAAAAATATTATAATGCATATATGTATAGATTAGAGATGATATGGTATGAAAATTTCATATCATGATTATAGTAGCCAGAATGGTTATGGTTATCAATATTATCAGTATTGTTAAAATGTGCTGGAAATGTTCAAAAAGTATACATACGCTGAAATCATATCACCGAAACTAACGACAAATAAAATTAGAAACATCAAAAATGATGGACGGTTTTTAACAAATATATACATTGGTTGGGTGACTTACAAAATAACATGTTATGTACGAACATGTATTACATGTTCAAATAAAGTTTTGAATAAAAATGTGTATCCTTCGTATTTCAGCCTTTAAATAATTTTAAAGAAAAGGTTGGGTCAAAATGATAAATTATAGGCATTTGATCTGCTCCCTGAGCAATTCTGCACAGGCTGCCTTATCCGTCCGGAGTGTTGTGATGTTTGAATGCACATCAGTGTTGGCACTGGTCTGACTGTAAGTGCACGCTCTGCCAGCAGGTGGCGCTGATCTCGCAGCAGAAAGCGCGGTTTCCACAGTAACCGCTGTAAACAACGCTGCGCATGCGCTGCGGGAAGATGAGCAGAAACTGCCGTTGAAACTTGCCTGTTATGCAGATTCATTCTTTCACATCGTTTCTCTCAGCACTCTGCCTTCCGTCATGTTTTCACACGTTTGTGCTTTAGGAGGTTGTAATATGAGGCTGTACTGTCAGCATGATGTTAGTTCTGCTGGATGATACACGTCTGTTAAAATGCTAGGAGTGGGGTAAGTTGAGCCAGTGGCTCGTCCCTTTTTATGATTATAAAGTATCATTTTACTGTAATTCTACATTATACTTAGTTAATTTTAGACCAAGCATTGTTGATTTTGTTCTGAAGTAAAATTTTAAATAGGCCTTGTTTATGAAAATTGCCCATTGAAGTTTTTATGAAACTGTTTGCCTGCAACATTTGACCGTCTGTATTTGCACAAGTGGGATGTTGAGAATTAGCCCTGTTCTGAGATCAATTGCATTTTTTTTATTCAATTGAACTTTATTTTGTTCTGAAAAAAAAATGCCTTCAAAATGTATGTATTGTATTATTCAATAAAAGTTTTAAGAAGTCATCCATTGTGCAAAGCTCTTTGTCCTTGTTAGCGTAGCAGGGAGCTGAGCCTCACCACAGGCGGGAAGCATGGGATGGAGGGCATTTTTATTGAATGTCTCTCCCTTTGATACAGCATGAGGTTTTACTTCAACATAATCAATGGCACAGTTTAATTCCATGTGGCTCAACTTACCCCTCACTTTATTTTATTTAGGAAAGCCATATTTCGAAAGCAGTTTATTTTAGCTCCAAAGAGATTATTCCCAAGGATGCACCACTTCCTGAAATGTTTGTGCATATTTAAGTTGGACCTGTTACTGTCATGTGTTCGCTTTAAACACACTGTTAGTAAAAACTGGCTCAACTCACCCCGCTCTCCTCTACTACTAAACTTTATACTGATAAAAGATGAAGCATGAAGCTGAATTCCCCTGCAACACTGTGACTGATAAGCGTGGTACAGATGATGGATGGGCTCTTCAGCTCTGGAAACACATATGTTCTCCAGGCGTGAAGAACTGAGGACGAACCAGTCATTCTGAACAGCAGCTGGACCTATGACTGTCACTTAAAACAACGACAACAACACATGGGCCATGAAGCTATCAGTTGGAGTTTGGTATTTTGTTGGTTTGTCTTCAGAGTCTTAAAGGTGCAGGAGGTAATCCTGACAGCTAGCAGATGAAATGGGTAATGCAGGCCAAACTAATACTGGAGAGAGTACAGACTCCACGCTCAGGTGCGCTGCCACACCGAGGACACGCAACAGGAACGAGCACAACTAACAGAGGAAGGCATCACAACCATGCTGTTTTATATTCTTATTTCTACTGTATTGCTCACATTTACACTGCTGGTCAAAGTTTCAAATCATTAAGATTCTTTAATGTTTTTGAAAGAAGTCTCTTCTGCTCATCAAAGCTGCATTTATTTGGTCAAAAATAGTTTAAAAAAACAGTAATACTGTGAAATGCTACAGTTTCAAACAGCTGTTTTCTATGTGAATATCTGTTAAACTGTAATGTATTTCTGTGATGCGCAGCTGTATTTTCAGCATCATTACTCCAGTCTTCAGTGTCACATGATCTTCAGAAATCATTCTAATATGCTGATTTGCTGCTCAAGAAACATTTCTGATTATTATCAATGTTGAAAACAGTACACTATCATACACTTCCAATCAAAAGAAAGAAACATTTTCAAAAAATAAAATAAATTAATGGTTTGATACAGCAAGGACACAATAAATTATAAAAAGTGACATTTTAAACATTTTATTCATCAAATATCAAATAGTCCTGAAAAAAATTATCACAGTTTTCACAAAAATACGAAGCAGCAAAATTTGTTTTCAATATTGACAATTATAAGAACCATTAAAAATCAGCATATTAGAATGATTTCTGAAGATCATGTGACACTGAAGACTGGAGTAATGATGCTGAAAATACAGCTGCGCATCACAGAAATACATTACAGTTTAACAGATATTCACATAGAATTTTTACTGTATTTGATCAAATAAATTCTGTGAGCATAATGTAGCGAATTAGCTCAAAAGGGAAATAATTATAACTGGTTATTATTATATTTAGGTCAGCTGCTACTGGTAACTGTAGCAGAATCAATATGACATATTATTGTCCAGTGAATGTTCAGTGTAATTTAATTTCAGCTCTAAGAAATGTTATTCTCGTGGTCACAGAAAATCGCTTTCTTACAGTACTGAAAGAACTTGCAAGTGGTGACCACAGAGTCTACTCGTGATTGTGCACAAAGTTTTATTTAACTGAACACAGACAATAACAAGTCTAAACGAACACACACACACACACACTCACACACACACACACTCACAGACACTCTCACACACACACACACGCACACACACACTCACACACACACACTCGCACGCACGCACGCACACACACACACACACACACACACACACACACACACACGCACG